ACTAAATTTAATTAAATATTTAATAATTTTTAAAGATATTATAAAAACTTTATTTTAAATTTTCGAGTTTGAAAAATAAATAAAAACTATAGAAATTAACCGATTTTATTGTCTCGTTGATATGACATGCATTTGGAAGATGTATTGAAATCAAATCAATTATTGACTTTGTTTATCCAAATCTTATTGTCCTTATATTCTTAGTTTTATTATATTTTTCAATCTTATATTTCATTAAATATTGGATGAAAATATTATTTATTAGAGCCCTTTCTATATTTTCAATAATTAAACATACATTTATTTATTTAAAATTAATTTTAAAAATATTTTATGTATTTTCGAGAGTAATTTTAAAAAAAATACTATAATTATTTCAAAATATGATCTTTTATAATTTAAAAATATAATTAAAAAAATATATTGTAACAAATTTAAATGCAATTAAAGGGTGTGACAACTGTATTTTTTACATTAAAGTTTTAATATTATTGAAATTTTATTTTATCTCCAACACAAACTTCAATAAGTTTTGAATTTATTATGAATTTCAAAGTTAACATTATTGTAAAATAATTGTAGTATAGTTTACGTATGTATAATTTCATTAACCGATCATATTATAAATGTTTTAATTAAATTTTTATATGATATAAAATGTAATAAAATATCTTATGCTTAGAACAATAATGTGGAGCCAATTATACAATTTGTTGATAAATGTTTTTAATATTTTTGAAAAGTCAATATTATCTCTAAGTTATAATTAAACTCATGTAGCTTTGAACTTATGGTATTAAATATTATAATGCAAACTTTAAATGAAATAATGCATAAAGAGTTGTTGTAAAATAATGGTAGTATAATTCATTTAGTAATTTTAAAACCATACCTTAATTGATATGGATGTATTATTTTTCACTTATTATAGCGCGTATATAATTAAAGTATAAGTATTCGTTATTATTATTATTATTTTTTTTTTTTTTGTTCAGTAAGTCTCTAAATTTTAAAATTTTTATAATAAATATCAATTGTCTCGTACGATTGTTTAACATATTTTATATGTATTTTTTTTTAAAATTAATGGATCTATTAAACGTAAATTTGATTTATTTATTTAATAAAATTTTAAACTATTGTAATCATACTAAGAAGGGAGTAGGTTGTGACCCTGACATAAGACGACAAGGTGGCGTTCTTCAAGTGGTGCCCATCTGACACGTGTCATGATGCGACTGAGGAGGACGGTGCATCATCCAACACACCAAAGAGATGTACATTGAAGCCAAGATGAGGCATAATCAAGATGGAGGAAACACTCCGACAAAAGAAGGACAAAGATATGCTTGATAAATGGTTAGGGGCTCAGGCCTTAACCTTGAAATCAAGGTTATGCAGTTCTGGAGGTAAGCCCATCCATGCAAAATATGAATGCTCATCACGGACGACGTTTCACAAGATCATATGACTATTCGCCAAAATCATGTCTGTTTTTTTCAGACAAAAAATGTTTTAGAACGTACCTTAGGGAGAGGCATGGTGTCAGTTCTCTATCACTTGTGAGCCATGTGACCTAAGCGAGCTACCATGCAGCACATGTGTTACAACGAGGTCAAGCGTTGCAAGATGAATGTCTCAGGAAACTTCCTTTTAAACGAAATTTTCAAGCGTTGCGAGATGAATGCAACACATCAAGAGCGACATATGTGGCAGAACAAGCTTGAATTCCATAAGAGTTACGTTCGGTTGGCCAGAGAGAATCTCACCTAAGATCTGAAAAAGCCACATATCATCCCGAAAAATGTGAATGAGGCTTGAGTTTCCCTTTATGATTAAGGGGCAAATTTGGGTGTGATTAAAAATAATTAACTGTTGTATTATGATTGAGAAATAATAATTAAAGAAAGAAAGGAAAAAAAAAAGTAATTAATACACTTTATTAAATGATTTTAATCATATAGTATAGATTTGAGTTTTATTCTTCATAATATCTATACTATATGATTTCATTAAATTTCTAAACTTTATATTAAAATTTTATGCTTCATCAAATTAACACTTTATTTTCACCACCAAAGAAAAAAGGCCAAAAGAATATCACGCGCGTCATCATCACAATTTTTATTCTCCTCTCACATCATCAATTCGCACTAGAATTTAAAATTATTTTGAATTATTAAACATAAAATTAAATTTTATATTTAACCAAATTTAAAATTTTAAATAAGTTTATAAATTTTGAAGGTCAAATAGTGAAGGGAACTCTTAAAAACAAAATAAAAATAAAAAATAAAAAAATAAAAAAATAAAAAATATGATTATAGTTATAGGATTCCCATTTTACAACTTACTTTACGCTTAAAATAAAAATTCCCAATTTCATTTTCACATGGACAAAGTTAAAGTAATCCATCATTATAATGATTCTAAGTTTTAGCGGGCAACAACATTAAAATAAATAAATAAATTAATTAATTAATTAAATTAGAGAATTAAATATTTAAATCTCTGACTTATTGATAAAAAAAATATATTTCTTAATTTGTTGAGTGACACTTAAATAAAATATAATTAAAAAAGTGTTATATTTGAAAAACAAATTAAAAAAAAAAAAGAATGTTAATTACGAGGAAATTAAATAAAAATTGATTTGGAATTTATTCAAAAATAAATAAATAAATAAAGGGTGGTGGGAGTGGGACAACACATAAAAAATTTATAAAAGAGCTATTTTCCTTTTGCTCCTCTTATGTTTTCTCTTTTTCTTTTGATGCCCTTAAGAATTTGATTTTGTGAAAGAGAGAGGACCTTTTTGCAAATTTGGCAATATTAGGCTCGAACGTATAATATAAGTAGTATAAAAATTGGTAATGACGGGTTTAAATTTTCACTCTTAATTGAAATATGTTGAATATAAGGACTAAAATGAAATTTTGGGAATTTATTTTATTTATTTATTTTGATCCAATTAAAAGTTATGCAAAACCCAAATACAAGCAATTGAAGGATGTAAAGGTGGAAAATATTCCAATAAAAAAAAAGAAAAAGAAAAAGAAAATTGGTATAGATTCCCTCACCAATGTGCCTTTTTAAAAAAAAATAAAAATAAATAAAAAATAAAAATACAAAATCTTGTTGATTCTTCCAACATCAAAGGATGAAAAAGTACAAAATTTTATTCTCTTTTAATTTGTCAAATGAGTTGTCATTTTGTGGGCATTAATTATTATATTTGGGATTTACCAATTAATACATTTTTTTTTTATATTTGATAAAATTTAATTTAAAAATATAAAAAATAAAATAAAATAAAATGAATTTTGAAGTATTTATTTATTTCGGAGTAGAAAATGGCACCTCATCTCACTAAATTAAATAATATTGGCTTTTAGTTCTTAATTATTATATATATGTATATATATATATATATATATATATATATATATTAATTGAATTAATGTCAATTTTTATATGGTTTGGCAGTTTGGATTTGATTTTCAGCATTGATGTCATAGATAGCATTTGAAACATAAGATGATGAATAATCAAATTCAAAATTATGACTTTTTGAAGCGAGAAAATTTGAAGATTTATTTAGTAACTTATTTGTATATATAAATATAGGGAAAATTACATTTTGTTCTTCGTGAAAGAGGACGTAAGCTATGGTTCTAGTGAGAGAAATAAGTGAGAGAAGAAGAAGTTGTTCGTGAGTTTTTTTTCGTGAACTTTAAACATGGGGGCTCACTAACGGAAGAATGGAAAATAAATAAGAGAGAGAAGTACTGTATAAACTTAAAAAAAATTACATATGGTTCGAGTACAGTTAAGTATATAAGATATCAATTATCAGCTCAAACGTTCACGGTTGGATTGGTAGGATGGATAACGTATACAATTTTTTAATAATAAATGACCCAAATTTGAATGAGCCCAAATATAATAAGTACATAAATTGAGCCCAAGATCCAATCCACAATACAATCATATAATAGGCCCAAATTTGAATAATTTATAATTACAAATAAAATTTTAATTCGTAACAACAAGTGTCGCTTTGGCCGAGTGGTTAAGGCGTGTGCCTGCTAAGTACATGGGGTTTCCCCGCGAGAGTTCGAATCTCTCAGGCGACGATTTGTTTTTATTTTTTCTTCTTTCTTATTTCTTGTTCTCTATTCTTTACCTGTTTTTAATAAACAAATACTTCTTCTACAAAATAATAATAATAATATATATATATATATATATATTCTTTAATAAAAAAAAAAGGTTATTTTAACAAGTTTGGATTTGCACGTGAAGAGTAATTGATCAGATTCGTGGCCGTTCTTACTACGAAACACTGGTAATACTCAAACTCATGCCTTATCGAGCATGTTATCCTATTTTTTATTTGGTTTATTCGACAGTAGCAAATGCTCGTTGCGATATGGGTTTCAAAGAACCAGATTTAGTCATTAGTAAAGCGGAAGTCAACCAAAGTACTACTATGAAAAAATTAAAACCTCGAGCTCGAGGGCGAAGTTATCCCATAAAACGACCCACTTGTTCTATAACTATTGTATTGACTTTTGTCTGAGTTTTCTTCGGCCAAGTTGAAAAGATAACTATTTTTTTAAAATAAAAATAACAATAATACTCTTTTGATGATTTGAATTTAAGATAACTTGATGTTATAGTTGACCTAGTTTCTTCGAACAATCTGTATTGATTTGATATGCTTGACTAATGAAGTGATAGTAATTAATTGATTTAAGAGAACTATGATGTGACAGCTGACCTATTTTCTTTGAATAATAAGTGTTGCTTTGGCTGAGTGGTTAAGGTGTGTGCCTGCTAAGTACATGGGATTTCTCCGCAAGAGTTCAAATCTTTCAAGCAACATGTTGACATTTTTATCTTTATATTGACCAATGGTGTGACAATTAACCAAAGTAATTAATTGACTTAAGAGAATCGTGACGTGACAGCTAACCTATTTTCTTCAAACAACAAGTGTTGCTTTGGCTAAGTGGTTAAGGCGTGTGCCTGCTAAGTACATGAGGATTCCCACGGGAGTTCGAATCTCTCAAGCAATGTGTTAAGCTTTTTATCTTTATATCGACCAAGGATGTGACAGTTGGCCAAAGTAATTAATTGATTTAAGAGAACCGTGACGTGACAGCTAACCTATTTTCTTCAAACAACAAGTGTTGCTTTGGCCGAGTGGTTAAGGCGTGTGCCTGCTAAGTACATGGGGTTTTCCGCGAGAGTTCGAATCTCTCAGGCAACGTGTTGAGCTCTTTATTTTTATATCGACCAATGATGTGAAGTTAACAGACGTAATTAATTTATTTAAGAGAAGCATGACAACTAACCTATTTTCTTCAAGGTGTAATGTCACCAATCACGACGTGTTTTGAGTCACCACACTGAACAACCTGACAGGCAAGCTTCACCAAGCGCTCGGGTTGGCATACTTTGTAGCAGCTTAATTAATTAATGCATTTATGATAGTTGCCTATAATTGGCATAATTCATCCGTCACAACGCTACATTTTCCTACTACAAACATTTCATCTCGATCTCATTCCATAAGTCTCAATACACCCTTTCAAGGTGATAAATGTCTTTATCTATTTAGCTAGGCTCGAATTGACTTTACGAGAGTAACTACTAAAAGCCATAGTACCATGAATCAATCAACCAATACAATAATCGAGCTAATCCAACACAATCGATAAGATGAGGATTATATGATCGGCTGCTAAATTTATTTGATGGATTGTGTTACTCAGATGATCAGATAATAAAAGACATGAAAGATAAATTGCATCGTTTCAACTAGTGATACAAATAACAATCTTGTTTTAAAAACCACAATGTTCAGTTAAAAAAAGAATCATAAAACAAAAGATTTCTATGAACACACATGTACAGCTATTACCTCCATATCCTTCCCAAGTTCGAAAGTGTAATGGCTCAGATCCACCGCTAGCAGATATTGTCTTGTTTGGGCTTTCCCTTTCAAATTTTCCCTCAAGACTTTAAAACGCGTCTACTAGAGAAAGGTTTTCACGCTCCTTATTGAAGGGTTTTTTGTTCTCCACCCCAACCAACGTGGGACATGACAGAAAGATTACTTTATGGGCAACAATTAGATCCGAATCAGATGTGCGTGCTTCCTCATTTAGATCAAACCTGAAAGAGAAGGAGAGAGAGAGAGAGCGATACAATATTCAACGAGAAATCTAAAGCTCAAGAAAATGCATAAAAACTATTTAAAAATCCAGAGCAGCAGAAGAATTTTTGGTCCCCTCATTTCAAGATCAATTCCATGGCTGTTTCAAGCTGTAAGGGATCCAAAGCTTACTCTTTTTTTTGAAAACTACGTGCATGTGGCGTTCATCAGACATCCCAACCCCATCGATTTTCTTCTATTCCCCACACTACTAGCCGTCCATTTCAAGATTTAGATTTCTCCCAACGGCTGTGATTGTGTAGATCTTTTTGTTTTACTTCTATTTCAGGAAAAAGAAAGCAACATTAAGACATATCTGTCTTTAAAATAATCACAAGAACCAGTCTGGCATGACGGCACGAGCAAGGAGACTTAAAGGGAAGAAAGGGATAGATGTTTGCCTCATCCTTAATCCAAAGACAAAGCACAAAAGACTAAAATAAGTAAATTATTTTCAGAATAAAGATCAATCCAATCATGGAGGCCCCTGCCACGTGTGGGTATTCTGACTTCACTCAACTTAACAGCAAAGAAAGAAAAATCTAGATTTTCTATCTATATAAAAAATAAATAGAGCACGAGGTTAGTTACCTATTAAACTGTAATTTAAAAAGTTGATGTAGAACCAAGTGGAAATTCACCTGTGCTACAATTTCAGCCAACTTACATGTAATGTCGTTGGAAAATTCAGTTACAATTAATTGGATACTTAACATAAAGAACCAAATTTGATAAACTTCCCATGAGCTATAGCTAAAGTTTATCCAATCTAGTCAGCCACATCAGAACTTGTCCCCACACAATGAACAATGAGACACATGGGGATCCCTCAACCTACATGCTGTTCTAACTATAAATCCCTCAACTTTTCCCTTTCTAAGCGACAAAATAGTATTAATAGTGAAACGGATGGATAAATCTGTTACTTCCCCCTTAATCAATCAGCCTACTTTTGGGCTACCATTTTGAGCAAAAGAAATAAATATATAGCATCTAAATGCAGAGGAAGAAACCAACTTGAGCCGTTAGAACTCTTAACATGATCAAATCTTAGTACCATGATGATATCTTCTAGAAAAAATGATAATAAGAAAAGGGAAGGAGTAAAGAAAAGCATATGGAGGTATGACCCCACCCGTTTGGGTAAGGCCATAAGAAAATGACAATGGATCAATGAGTAGTTAACAAGTCACCTGAACATGCCACCGAATCCGCTTTTCTTTAACTCAAAAGAGACCATGGACTTTACCTCTTACCAAAACACCTTTAAGATTCTTCCAATACTGCAATTTGGTCCTCCAGCTGGCACAAATTGGGGTATTTTAGAAACAGTCAATCGATCCCTTTTGGCCACTTGTGGCAATTCAGGATAAGTTTCTAATAATTTATACACACTAGCATAAAGCCCAAACCCTCATGCTCCCATATTTTCCTGATACCCTTCTTCCAATTCTCAAAACGCAGACCACACTTTCTGATCTTAGAAAGAAAACCCAGACGTTGAGGCTAAAAAAATGTTCCAACTTTGCTTAAAGTCTGACAACTCGGTTCCAATTTTAACAGAAAATCCCATGAGAATAGTGGTGTATGCCTATAGAGTTATGTGCTGGTGCATCAATGTACACAATTCTTGAAATGAGTCAAAGTAAAAAACATATATGAAATGTTAACCGTACCTTATTTGAGGAGAATCCCAAGAGCCAAATTTGTTGTTTAGATGGAGCCAGAGTGCTGCAGCAAATAATCTGTGATGGGTCAGCCAAGGAAATTCCATGTCTATAAACCACAACTTGATCAGTTCAGGCAAGATCACCATGTGAAGGATTGGATGGCTACACTTTGATAAATAATCATACCAAACTAGCAAGAGCAAAGAAACGAGCAAGAAACAGAATTGATTGATTGTTAATATCAATACACGGAAAACCACCATCAACTTTCCATTCATAAAAGAATGCAAAATCTGTACAAACAAATCGAATGGCCCGTTTTTTCCCATTTATTTTTCAGAGCCAGTAAAAATCGTAAAATAGGATACACATCGCCTGGAAGATGGAGTTAGAAGAAGAAGCACAAAGTGACCGGAGAGAGACAAAAAACCAAAGAAAAATAGGACTACAATTGAAAATTTTATCAAGATAAGCGTCAAAACATTCCTGCTGGAAATTTACCGGCGACCTCATATATCCCCTATGTTTTCTTCACTGGGAGTATCCGTACAAGTCGTATGGTGACCATAGAGAATCCAGTGGGCATGGTTGTTTGGAGTCCAGCCTCAACCATGGCTTCCCACTGCCGGACCAATGCAAGAGGCTCGTCGGACCAGGGTGGAGGTCACGGCAGCTGCCTCTGATGTTATCACCTCCTAAACCATGCTGGTTCCACCGGTGCTCGATGGTCGCCACGTTTCCGGCGAAAACCAACAGGAACGGCGGCAGTGACCCAAGTTCATAGATGCGATTACTCTTCTGAAGCTTCATCCACCATTCAATTTTCTCCGTGAACCCACCATCCCTCCACTTAACCAGATCTATGACCATAACGCCGGTGTTGAAGTAACAGGGTTTTCTTCCATCAAATGTGCCGGAATATCTGTCGTCGGACCAGAAACGCGCTGTGAAATACTTGCTGAAATTGGCATGGCAGTACACAGGAGCTCCAATTGTCCACTCACCCAAACTCGTCGTCCATAGCTTTCGGATATCATCAACCACAATTAGATCAGAATCCAGGTAAATTACCTTCTTGACACAAGATTCGAGCAACCCAGCCAAGTAATTTCTAGCATAATTAAGCGGCTGCTCCAGAGCTTGCCTCACCGAGGTGGAGATCAGATCGCGGACAATCTCCGGATCGAAATAGTACACTTTGAAATTCAACCGAGGGAAAGTGGATCGAACGAAATCCTCGAGATTGGTATCCGAAACGAGGAAATGGAAAAAAACACTCTCAGGACAAAGTGAGTTTCGAAGAATCGAATTGACGGCCGCAACAGAGCCACGAAGGTACTCCACGTCAAGCGTAATAGCAACATGAACCAAATTCGGATCGCACACACCAAATTTCCCAGAAAATTTAGGGTCACCGCCACGACACTGACCGGCATTGCGGAATGTAGATGCCTTTCGGAAGGAGAATCGATTCAACGATCTGGAAGAAGCAGTATGAACAGGTAAACGAAGGTAAAAATCAAGATGAGAGGATCGAATGGCTTCAGCCGGAGGAAACGATTGCAAAGCCGGAGCAAGCACAATCATCACCATTGCTGCGGAGAAAACCCTCGATAATTTCACCAACCAAACCATATTCAACCTTTAAATCCCCTCCTCCTCCTCCTCCTCCTCCTCCTCCTCCTTCCACTTCAAACCAAATCGATCTACCAAAATCGACAATAAAAAACCCGTTCGAATGACCGTTAGGGTTCCTTTAACGTCCTCTAGAGCTCTCTTTAAAACAACACATGTAAAATCAACAACAAATATAACCTCTGAACCAGATCGAATCAATCTTTCTCCTCCCTGCGAGTGCGTATCAAAGCGACAAAGTATGCCGTGGGAACAAAGCAAGCAGAGAAACGAAAAAGGCAGAAAAAAGAAGACAATGATTATAACGATGTAGACAAGAGCATTGAACCGAAATCAGACCTCAAAACAAACGCCGGAGAGAGGAGTTTTCCGGCGGCCGGTCTACAATGCAATTCCCTCTCTCCTCAGCTTCTCTCCCTCTATTACTCTCTTGGTTGCAGAGCCATGGAAGAAGACAAAGCAGCAGACCCACAACGTGGTACAGTGAAGAGCCCCTTTTTCCGCGGATCCCCACAATGACCTAAATATTAATTATTAAAATTTTGGGGTTAGAAGGTCAATTACTTTTTTTATTTATTTATTACTATTATTATTATTTTTAACTAAATTAATAAAAATATTCACAAACTTTACCCTTTTATCCTTAAAATATTATCCACTCTTTTGGATATATCATTATCCATTGCCAAAATTTAAAACAATATTAAAATAATTATTTGATTTTTATTCTTCAAAATTTTTTAAAAATAGTTTCTAAAACTTCATTTTATTTTTAAATTTTGGGTAATAATTCAAATATTTTATTAAATCAGTTGATTATCAAAATGACATATAAAATCTCTCCTATTATATTTTATTTCTAATTTTGAAATTTATTTTGGCGTTGTTAGTCCAGTGACAATGATATTTTTAGACTCGGAAAAAAAAACATCGAACTTGTGACGATGAACAATTAAGGATGTTTCTCGAAGAAGATTCATCTCCTTTCTCATAAGAATTTATAACTCTTTTAATTAAGTCGTTGTAAATGAATTGATCTTGACATAAGGTTTAAATTAATTAATTTATAAAAAATTTAAAGTTATCTCTTAGAATTTAAAATTATTTTACTCCGTTATTTGTCAAATAAATATCAATACAAGCCTAATTCAACTGTTAACCCTGGTTTATTTATTTTACCATAGTGAATTTTAACTATTTACTTCAACCATTTTTACCATTGAGAAACATTTCTTTTTTCTTTTCTCACGTGTTAATAATAAGAAGCCTAAAAAATGATTTAAATATGAATAAAATTTGACTGAGAAAATTTAATTTAATTTAATTTAATTTTAAGTTGGAAATTCAATGGGTCAAACTAAAAAACAATCAAAAGGTTAGATTTAAGGTCCAATTCAAGTGGACCATGATCCAAAAGCCCACGTCGACTTAGGCCCAATTGAAAAAGCCCACATCGACTAAGGCCCAATTACAAAAAGGCCGAATCGACTTAGGCCCAATTAAAAAGTAGACACGATCCAACTAAACTAGGCGAAAGTGATGAAACGATGCATAACCGACATGATCGCTACGTACGTACCATGTGGACGTGGTAGAAACATGGATAAAGTAGAGAAAGACCGAGTGAATTGACGATACTCAAGTATTCAACAATATAGAAAGTTGAAGGAGACAAAGATATTGCTCGAGATAAAAAAGAATCAGAAGGATTTACGAGCGAGGTTCACTGATTTAATTTTACGAGAAGATGGAAAATTTATTCATTTAATAAATTTAACACCAAACGTAATTAATTTCAATTTTTAATGTCAATTGACCAACACTCACGAATAAAGTACAGCTACGAATGAATAGAAACGCTAATTTTATAACGTTTCGATAATATTTATTTTTTTAATCTATCTCGTGTCCGCTAACAACTTTGACCCGACTCGACTCAGTTGACTAGAGAAAGCCCATGTGCTTTCTTCTCAATGATTCCAAATTAAACATAAATATATTTAGAAAAAAACCATAAAAGTCCAAATTGATTTAATAAGCTCTTATTGAATATTAATAAACAATAATTATTTCCCATTTAAAAATAATGAAGATTAAAACGACGTCGCTTTTCTTAAAACACCTGAATTCCAAAAAGAATTGTGATAAAACAAAAGGTAAATAAATTATTTTAATAATATAATTTATGGTGTAAATTTGAATGAATTTGTTAAATAACATGCATTATATAATTATCTTCAATTAATTATGAGATTATTAAAATATTTATTTAAACAACAAGACTAAAATTGAAATAATGCTGAAAAATTGAACATATATTTTTCACCTGGGCCCGGGTGTTTCCAATTCGGATCCGGCAATGGCAGCGGGGCGGTGGGCCACCTGCCGCTGGGCTGCCACCATGGATTTATAGATCTCCAGAATGATCTTCTCGTCGTATTCCTTCGCCGGCCGCTTGCCAAAACCGGCCATGCCGTCACACATAACGGCGGCGCCGCCGCCGGAGAAAACCCGGGAATTAGCTAATCCGAGCATCATATTGACATAGGCATCACGGAGGCGGATGAGGAGTTTCTTCGGGGATGGAAATTTCCGAAGGAATCGGAGCTTCGGAGAGATCTTGACCCGCCAGAACCGCCGCCGCGTGTTCTGGGTCGACCCGAGCCCGATCTTGGCCAGCCGCCTCCGCCGCCGTGACGACCGGTTAAGTTTCTGGTAGGTTCTTTTCTTCCAGTAGCCTCTTATCCCTTGGAACCATTTCTCAGAAACCCCATTTTCATCCATTCTCTCTCTCTTTCGTTTTCTCTCTCTAGAATTGTGAATTTGGGGAAGATGAACCAGTGGGTGAGAACCGAAGCTCAATATATTTGGTGTTGAATTATTAATAAAAATTAAAAAAAAAATCATTTTATTTTATTTTATTAACCAATAAATAATTTTAATTTTAATTAACAAAACCCTCAAAACCAAATGAAATAAATAAATAAATAAATTATGAAAATTCTTGAATCTAGCACATGGGTTAAAAAAGTCAAAAGTCAATAATAAAATTCCATATAAATTTTAATTTAATTTCTTTCCATAATTTTAGAAAATGTTGATAAATTTAAAATAAAATTTTATAATAGTAACCATACCCACCAATATAATTATATTTTTTAATTTATAATATGAAGAAAAAAAATAAAAATTTTGGTAAGTAATATTGATAGATTAAATAGCATTAAATAAAACATTAATAATTATAAATAGTTGAATTTTATTAGGTATTGTGGGGAGGAGAAGTTATTAAATGGAAGGAGGGATTTCCTACCTAAGTATCACGGAACTTGCTATCTAAATTTAATGGGGATGGATATGACACG